TATTAAATAAATAAAGTATAAAAAAAATGTAAAAAATATTAAATGTATTTTAGGTGCAGCTAGTGTAAGTATTTTCACCTGATTTGATATCAGTCTCTTGCAAACCCCTCAACAGCAGCACTCACTCACTCTCTGATGGAGAGGAGCAGCAATGGCAGCCAATTAGGTGTCCTGCATATACTGAAAAGGAACACACTGACAGTAGAAGAGAGAGATGACCTCACCAGTCTTCTGCTTCTCCTTCAATGCCCGATCACAGGCTGAGGACAAAGTGATATCAGCAATTTATAAATTAATTGTAATAGAGAAAATTGTATCATCCTCCTGATATTTTTGTGTGACATGTCTCTGTAAATCTCAGAACTGGATGAATAGAAATGAAAATCATTTGGAGGATTAAGCAGTTCCCTTATATGTATTTCATCTGTTCATTTCGATATATGTCTGGGGTTCAGCCTTAATATATATTTTTTTAATTCTGGCAATAATAAACAGAATTAAGTATGTACAAAACCACCACAGGTTCCATTTAAAGTAAATACTGCATTAATAATTCATGTGTTTACTGACAACATACTATACATTTCCTTCACAGAGAATGAACATTTAAAAACAAATGCAAAGCAGGCAGGCCCGGATTCCCCACAAGGCCACCGAGGCCCGGCCTCGGGGCGGCAGGGCGCAGAGGGGCGGCAGCGGTGTCCTTGGGGGAAGTTGCCCTCTCTACATTCAGTCCTGCTTTGTACAAGCAGAACTAAAAGTAGAGTGTAGCAGCCGATTTTGTTTGCTATCACACAGGGGGTTGTTTTCTCCTGTGTGATAGCAATAAAGTTGGGTGAAAAAAAATGTAATTGATGAAAAAAATTTTTTTAAACATTATAAAAAAATAAAAATGAAATAATTAAATAAAAAAATAAAGAGTATTTCATTGATAAAAAAATTATTAAATAAATAAAAAATAAAAAATAAGAAGAAATAAATAAAAAAATAAAAAGTGACAAAAAAGTAAAACAAAATAAATAAAGAAACAGTTAAAAAAAATTGACACTAACCCCGCCGCCCTGCCACCTGGTTGCCATTCTCCATTTCTCCATTGATGGTAAGGGGGGGTCGGCGAGCGGGGGGGGGGCGCATCGCAGAACCTGGCCTTGGGGCGGCAGAGAGAGTAAATCTGGCCCTGAAAGCAGGAGCCACAAAAGTTCTGTTTTTTAAGAGACCAGATGCAGAAATGCTATAAATGTTGTCATCACCACTATGGCTGTTCCCATTTTTTGCACACTATGAAAGCTTTACAGTGCTAAGGCCCTATTCACACAGAGTGAGCATTTTTAGGTGATTTTGTGCATTTTTATTTTTCAGGAGTTTTCAGGCTTGAGTGTTTTTGTTTTAGACAAACTAGACTAGCTAGTAGAAAAAAGTGGTGGTTGTTAGTTGCAAAACTGCACAAAAACATGCATTAGCAGAATTTTTCAGGCGCTTTATAGGCAGTCCTATTGACGTCTATGGTGGGGAAAAAAGCACAATTGCCTGAATACAATGAAGCTAAAAGAGGCAGCTCACATGACACTCTGGTTTGAAAAAATTGGGATTGTTTATGTTGAGTGCTCTTGGGCTTTGGAAAACATGCAACAACAGCTGTGAATGGGGGCTAGAGTCCAACACAGCTGGAAGCTGGTGAAGCACCATAAAGCAAGGTGAAAAGTTTGTTTCATGCTGTCCACAAAGAGCAATACTTTGGCTGCACTATGTAAATAACACACAAACAACATTTGTGTATTTGTCACTAAAGCACAGTGGAGGCAGGCATTTTTTTGAGTTGACCAATAATTCAGAGCATGTAGCATGTACTTTCACTGGGTAAGTGATATCACTGTTGCCAGGCTGAATATTGAGATACATTGAGACACATACTGTATACTGTCTGTGGTGACAAATGCACATTAAGAGGAAGTAGCCATGGAATTAATACAAAAAAATCCTTGAAAGCTGTGTCTGCTAAAAACGATATTGGCATCCTACATTACTGTTTTAATATTAAGCCATTTAAAAAGCATTCTTAGATCTCTTGATCTCTTGTAAATCTTCTATGTGTGATAATCTGGAAACAAATATGCTTATGTCAAGTGCCCAACACAATACCCAGTCTTCTCTAAAGAGCAATACATTACTTAAAATGGTAAATCTGTATCTGTATCCAAGTAACAGTCTTTCAGTGCAGTCAATACTGCCGTGGCTCTGGTTTCCTCTCTCAGCGGCAGGAGATACATTATTTTACAGAGTGACAGATGTCCTCTTACAAGAATCATGTACTGTGCTGTATGTTAACAATCGCAGGTAATTGTTAAGGGACACTCAGGGAAGCTTCGTCAAAGAAGAGGTTTTTTTTTCCTTTGAAACCAGAAATCCATTATTCATGATCAATGTTATTCCAGTTGCAGTAATGGATGGATGGAATGGATTGGAACAATGTCTATCACATGATGTATTGATAGCTGAAAGACATACATGCAAAGACACACATTTTAATGTGGTAATGGGTACATTAAGCAGGTCAAGGTGTTGAAATCATCTTAAAGGGAATTATGAAAAGAACATTTTTAAAAACACTTAGAAACAAAAATTAAAGGGCAAGTAATGTTACAAAAACTGATTAAGGTAAAAAGAAAACCCCGATCAATATATTAGATCATGCATATGTAATAGTTACTGCAAAGAACATTATACATTTTGCATTTGATTAGTATGAAAATTACTACCTTTTTTATGAATGCATTTGTAAACGTTCCTATAGATTGATAAGATTGTATTTGTTATGCAACCTGTTATTCTACATTAGCTGCCAGTTAAGACAAAAAAACAGTTTAAAGTCTAAGTGCACTTTTAAACGTATGTTAGCTTTATATATTTAGGCCAGTGAAAGGTGTCATCCAGGTCCCAGGTAGTATCCATCTATTTTTCTTTACTTTCAAGGCCAACTCCACACACATTTTTGTTTAGCTTTGTATAGACTCAAGAAGCAGAAATACTTCAGCCAAGCGTTTATTGTTGTCTATGATTTCAACTCACTTCCTGTCCATGGGAGAAGAAATGAGGGGAGAAGTGATCGCTGAGGCAGGAAGACACAGACATTAATAATAGCCTGCTAACCCTTCCCCCATCTTGTTTCCCCCATCAGAAAGTGACTTCCCTTCACTTCCTGATGAGGAAACATTTTCCCAGAAGGAAATTTCCACCTCTATCCAAAACAATTTAAAACAAAGTTTTTTGCTTGAGTTGGACTTCAACACATGATGATGATCTGATACATATTTATATCAAACAAAGCATATAAGTATCCTTTTAGATATTTATGATTGCAATAGCTTACCTACAACAGGCTAATTGAGATCACATGGGATCACAGGGAGCTGGGGATGCATGCTTTCTACATTTCCTCTCCTCTGTGATTTTGAGAGCAATTCTTTCTTACAGTACATGAAGGCAGGTGCTGTAAAAATAAGCGGCTCATCCTTTAAAGGAGACAGCTGGCCATAATGTTTTATTGGAATAGAGGAAAATGGGCAATCTTTAATACCGCCTTCAGTAAATTTATTTTAGATTTGTTCCCAAAACGTTTACATATGTATGCACAAATGATGGCAAAACTCTTTTGCAGAAATTATTTTGATAATGTATATCAGGTTGTGTTTTACATTTGAAACTCCCATTATAGTCTTGAAAATTGTATTGTAATCCCTAACGTAATAGCGTAACATAGCACAAGGCCATAATTAAATGTTCTTACCCAAGAGATCTAAAAGCTTTAGAACAGTTAGCGCACACATTCCAGGTCTTTTAGCACCCAGAATTAGATTTCAGCAGTTTGATGCGATTAGCTTGTTATTGGTTGGAACTAGCAGTGTGCAGTTTGTTATGAGTTAATACGTGGGCTAGATACTTACTGAAGGTGCAACCTTTCACATCAGCAAAATAAGCTATTTTTATTCCCTCAGATAAGTGGGTGTAGTTAAAAATTACATATTTTTTAAAATCATCCCCTCCATCCTACAGGACAGCCGTTAGGCATCAATGGCATATCATCATATTATTTACCAGTTAATTATTTCAATATTGGTAGCAATCAATGCAAATAAAAAATGGCCTTGCAGTGCATGGCATGCAATAAAATATTATGTATTTATATTTTGAATGTATTTTTTTATATACTTATATATGTTTGAAGATGTATAAAGAGTAAATCAGAAAAACATACTTTGGCTTCTAGGAAATGTCGATAATATTTTTGTAAACAATATTTAGACTTCTTAAGTAAGAACATTCAAGTAGCTTTTGTCAAAGTTTAAAAAAGGGAACTCGACTGAGCATGAAATACTAAATTACTTGCTTAATCAATATTATAAAGGTCCTACACTGAATTCTGTTGCCTCTCTGCCTTGCTCTGGTTCTCTTCCTGATAAAATTCCTTTCATTACCTGTCTGCTTGGACTAAAGAGAGAGGCAGCAGAAGTAAAATGCGAGTGGTCATTAGAGGCATGTTAAGAAATAAGATTGACATAGGTGAATGCATAAAAAATAGGTGATAGATAGAATGAATACATAAACATTTTAAAATACTTCTCCAAATAATTACACAGGCGTAATACAGCCATTTTCTTGTATTGTTACCCTTTTACAGTTCTGTGTTATTTCTATTTGACTATAAACACATTCATTTAACCCAAGGGTATAGCATATAGGTATTGGTAGACTTCTTCTAAGGTATACCTGTCCCTTACAGTGGTGCCATTCATATAATGGGCTGACCAAAAATTCATGACAAAGTGGCCTAATTTTCAGAAAAATAAGGGCATGAATCTTTATATGTTTTCAGCACACTAAAATGTCAACCTTCACCATGACAGGTAGTAGTAGACAGGTAGTATAGTAGTTTACACTTTAAACTACGATAGACAACTGAAATGTGCAGCTTGGTTGTAAAACATTAAATGAACTGTGCTTACCTTTAAAATTTGGTCTGATTCTTGCATCATATCCTGATGTTCTTCCCATTAATTTGTCCAAAAAATCAGAAGGAGACATGCTTTGGGAGGGTGGTTTTCCATGCTCTTTACAGAAGGCCGTCCTGAACAAACCACCAGGGTCCAGTATTAGACACTGAATAGTCATTTCTCACTCTTATCGTCAGTTTTTGGTGTGTATACATATCAATAGTTGATAGACAAAAGGAGACTTATTGAATAAGGTGAAGTAAAGAGCACTGGCGAAAAACAAACTGCACTTAACCATATAAAACAGGCTCAAATGACGTATTTAGGGGCACATCTGATTGGCTGCTGTTGGTCAGTGCAGTTTGCACTTCACCATTGCACTACAAAATGCTTTAAAGTAAAACTCCAGACACTCTTTTTTTTCTTCATTTGTTCACTGGTGTCTATCCCATCAGGGACGATTTCCCTCATTTTCTGTTCCAGTAACAGTGGTCTCTGAGATAGAACAGCTCTCCAACTGGATACATACAACAACTAAGTCATCTTATTTAGTATAGCTCAAGTGAAACCTTTTTTTTAAATTTGAAAATAAAATGTGAGGAATAACAGGGTAAAATCCTTGACAGGTTTTTTTTTGCCATTGGTGTCCTACTGAGATAATCCGTCACTTCTTGCCCTGTAGACAAAAGGAATTCAGAAGAGATCTCTTCAAAATAAAGAAAATCCCCTTTTGGATAGTATAATGTTCGGCGTTCGGCGAACGCTAGAACATGCAATGTTCGAGTCGAACCTATGGTCGACTCGAACATGCAGCCCATCCTTAGTGGTCACTGTACCAAGTGTCCCCATTGGTCAATTTTCTCTTAATTCCTGTTTTGGTGGCAACTCAAAATGTCAAAATCCTGGCGATAGTGGTCACCAAGACACAAAAAGAGGGTTATTCTCTGCAGCAGGAACACAAACAGCAATAAAACCTGACTGGGTTCTAACCCTTGCCCATCCTATGCATCAGGGCCTTCAAAGCTTCAGTGAGACATGGGGGGCAATTAAAGAACAATTGCTTGGAAAAAGTAGCACTTGTAAATAAGTAAAAATGTTTTGGGACTGTAAGAGATTTCTATTTTTTTCTTATTAAATAAATAGCTCTTATTCAATAAATAATCCTTAGCCTTAAATGCCAATACATAACTAACCCTTAGCAATCCATTGAAATTCACTCGAATCAAGTTACACCAGTACACTTTGGAACTTGACAGCATATCATAGATTACAGGACCTAACATTTAGTTCTTAGGAGTAAGAGCTCTTTAGTGAATAAAGCTGATACTGTGAGCAAAGACACACACAAGCAACTAGAATTTTTAGAAAGTGTCCTGTAATGGCATCCCTCATATTTCTCTCATGACAAGTGTAGTTTAAGGCCAGCAATAATTCATCAGGGCCTTCAAAGTTTCAATGAAACATAGGGGGGGCAATTAAAGAAAACATTTTTATTCAAGAAATTATCACTTGTAAATATTACCATACATTACAGGACTTGATAACTAGTTCTTAAGAGTAAGTAACTCTTTAGTGAATAAAGCTGATAATGTGAGGAAAGACTACAGGCCATATATCATCTTAATTCCAAAGAGTGGACTGAGTATTCCTTTCTTTTGGGTGCTGAATATTGAACTCATTATATTCATGTTCTATTTCTTCAGTCATAATTGGTGGGTCATCTGTCATGCTGGGCCCAGAACAAATGGCTTTTTGTGCCCCTCGAGCAGTCCTGTGCATATATGCAGCTGTGTTCCAAATTCAGGCCCATCACTAACATTATTTTAATCACTGAAATGTTAAGATTACACAGTTCAGTTTTTTTATTTATTATCCACTTTTTCTTTAAGTATGTAGGGGCTTGGATGTTTTAGTATCTATACCACAGCTGACCTATATTTTTTATGACAGAGTTTACAAGAGTTAGAGGACAATATCATCTAATTCAGAATCTGTATGTATTTCAGGAATAAAATGCTGTTGCCTGGATTTCCCCAAGCAATTTACAATCAAGAGAAATAATGAGAACTTTGTTGAAAATGGTCACACAGCAATTAGTGAGCTGTGCATTTGTGTAATGGCCGTCGAGTTGTTGTCTTACAATTCCATCCAAATGACTTGGTCTTTTCCTTCCCAGTCACTAGCTATTTAAAAGGTCTTCCCACCAAGCAGTGAAAAAAACCACAGATAAGACATAGCACTCCATGGCAACTTTAAGGATATGAATGGCTGATTACATTTGGCTAGGAATTCCTAGGCCTGTCTTTAGCTGTCTCTAAGCAGAGGAGCACTCAAGCTCCATGTGGGACACTACTGTCACATAGCTGTTGATTAATTAAAACAAGATTGCATTGGTGCATGATTCTACTATCCTCTGGCGTTGGTAACTGTATAAACATGTATTAATTTAAAAAAAATGTAGTCCATTTAGTTTTGCCTTGCTTGCAATGATTTGATGATTTGTGTTGATTTTGCATTAAAAGGCATCACAAAATCAGGATATGTAGTATTCTGATCTAATATGGATAGGGGAATTGTGATAAAAATGACATCTGAAATGTACAATGTGTTGTTTACATTTCTACATGTGTGAGTATACATACACACATCCGTGTGACATTTTAGAAAATACTTAAACAGCTAAGTTATACCTTTACACCTCTGCTAGCCTTTAAAAACCTGTATTGATTCCATAGAGTTGATCCCAGACATGGTTTGCTAAATACAGTATTAAGCTCCACCAGTACACATTCCAGCGGATGTACAAACATCATTAACTTTCGCTGAGGATTATTTTTTTAGAAATATTAAACAAAGTATATTCTTTTATGGATATGATCAAGATATTGGAGTGTAACTTAGCATTCTAAAGAAACTTAATTGTTCACATATTCAGAGACAAATAACAGAGGTAGTATGAGCAGAGACAGTCATTTGTAGAAAACAAAACATTTATTTTCCACAAGTCTTATATATCGGATTCAGTGGTCTGAATCTTTACAGACTTATTTACTAAGAGAATGCAAAGAACGAAAGAACGGCATTGTAAAGTAACCTACAGCAGCCAATTGGATTCCATCTTTCCCAAGACGACTGAAGTGCAAACAATAAAAGATTATTTCTGATTGGTTGCTATGGCTTACTCTACTTTGCACATGAGTTTTCCCCATATTTAATAAGGACCAGGGCATGTATAAGATTTTGTTGCCTACCTTAAGTTACTGGTTTCAAAGATTAATGCAAAGAAGGCTGTCAAAAGGTTGACCAGCCGCCGGTTCATTCCTCCTGATTTATTCTAAGGTTAAATATTCCAGAAACAATCCCAGAAAAAAGAAAAGCCTTTGGTGGAAAAAGATGGAGAAGAAAAAAAAAAAAAGAAAAGCCTTTGGTGGAAGAAGAAGACAGCTCCTAGTGTCTAGATGCCAAGAAGAATTGTTTTTCCCTGGAAGTAAGGGAGATCGGCATTGTTACAGACTATGGGGAAGAAAGAGAACAAGCTCCAGTCTGGCAGCATTGTCAGGTTAAGCCGAGGCTCATTATTCAGCACCGGTGATAACGACACAACACACGATGATCGTCTTCCTCCTTCCTCGACTCTCCACAGAAATGTTACCTCATAAACATAGCGTAAAGTGGGATCCCCACATTGGTTAATTCCCCTGTTTGTAAAGGAAGCTGTGTTTCCTGCGTAGGTTGCTATTACATCACAGTCCTGATAAGAAGGAATTGATACTGACAGTAGAATCCATAAGGTGAAGAAGAACTCAGGAGATGGGGAAAGGGATATCCCTGGCCCAACTTCTAGGCAGTGCGATGTAAGCTATTCAGTATGAAGAACAGAGCTTATTGGCTGCAGCAGTTCAGAATACTGATATGTATGATGTGTTCAGCTTTGTCTGGGCTCTGTACTAGCAGCAGATACTGCTCCTTGCTCAGCTGCTGCTGCTGACACTGAAGCTGATGTAGAAGAAGAGGAGGAGGCATGTAGGGGAATGAACAGAAGCTTTTAGTACGGCTTCTATGGACTATGCTGATGGAGGCGGGAGGAGGCAGCTGACTGCATTCCTCCCCACATGCAGAGCAGGTCCTCTCCTCTCACTGTTTCCTTGAGATACACTGTGTGGCAGTCCTATGCATATGTGCCTACACCATCTCACACTGCATTAGTCACATTTATGATGGACAGAGGAAAATTCTATTCTCTCTCTCTCTCTCTCTCTCTCTCTCCCACACTCTCTCTCTCTCTCTTTCTCTCTCTCTCTCTCTCTCCCTCTCTCTCTCTCTATCCCTCTCTTAAAAATAAATAATAACCAAAACATGTATGTATATGTATGTATGTATATGTATACATACACACACTATAGTAATATATGTATATTCTAATTTTGAAATTATATTCTGCAAAATGCTAGGCAGATGCACAAACAGATTACAGACTAGAGGCTTCCAGCCTGTCAAGGTGTATTTGTAACACTCAGTCAGCAGCAGTTCTTTATCTACTGGGACAGTCCCAGGTCGTGTAACACTACAAAATGAGTCCCCATCACACTTTCAAGCTAGCCAAGAAAAAAAAAATATTTTTAACTTCTTAAGTTTAAAACAGAGATTTTAGTTGCATGCATTTGCAAATCCACGTGGAAGCCACACTTCCATATCAAGATAACTCTAAGAATTGTGGTCCCTAATTCTAATTGATCTGAGTTTTGTAACCTCCTTACAGCTTGTTGACACCATGTCCAGAACAGATCTGGAAGAGTTTCTGCAAACATGGGCATGCGCTTTTTTGCTGCGTTTTTGGTGCATTTATGATGCATTCCGGTGCATATTTTTTTAGACTTAATTGGCTTTTAAGCTCATTCTGGTGCATTTGCATGTGTTTTCGTGCACTCCAGACCAGAAGAAATGTGACGTGGTGGACTTAAAAAAAAAAAGAAACTGAACGCAATTGTGTGAACAACGCTCAGAAAAACTCTTGGAATAAATGGGGATCTATGGGGATGCATGTTTGGACCATGCAAAAAAATGTTCTGGTCTGGATCTGGTCTAGAGATGGAGTGAACAAGCCCTGAAGGGCACAGACACAGACCAGAAGCCCAGACATTATAGTAAAATTAAACCTTTGCGGGGGGGGGGGGGGGGGTGCCAACCGTTCT